ATAAAAAGATTCCCCATATTTTCCCATATTTTCTGGGTTTCTGTCTTGCCCCCCACTTCCCATATTTTCCCATATTTTCTGGGGATTCGAGGATTAATTGTGTCTGTGTGTTTTTTCCTCTCCTGAGTTGTCGATCCTCGAAGGCGAGGATCCTTTCTGGACCGCGCCGGCCGATGTTCTGCGTGTCCGGGGGGGCGCATATCTGGGCCGCTCGGGGGCGCCGCGCCCCCGAAAAACCGCGCACAGGAGGCGCGTCTCCCGGAGGAGCGCGTGAGCACCCCCCGGCCCACGAGAGCCCCTCGAAAAAGAGGGGGGATCCTCGGACCTGCGTCTTTTTTGCAACAAAAAAACTCGGATCGATTGCAAAAAAACTCGGGTTTAATTAAGCAATCCTTCGAAAAAGATGGAGGATCTCCTCGGATCCTCGGGTTTTTTTTGCGATCTGTGTCCCTAGACCCCTTCAGTCTGGAGGTCCCTGTCCTGGGCCCTGGGCCCTCGACAGCGCTGGGACGGACAGGAGGAGCCCTGGCGAAGGGGACGATGAGATATATTCCTGGAGCCCCACGCCACGGCAAAGCAACGACGTCGGAGGTTTGGGGGGGGCAGGCTCCCACGAGTTGCACGACGTGTAAGGCAGTAGACGCTCCAACGAGTTGCACGGCATGCAGGACAGCATTAGAGGAGCAGACAATGACGGACATATAAAAACTCAGAGGCCCGCGCGGATCTCTTGGATCGGCGCTGGGGGCCACTGGCGGCGCCGAAGGCACCGCCCCTGGCGCGGGGGGGGGGGCCCAGCGCCGATCCGAGAAATCCGCGCGGACCTCAAAGTTTTTCTGTTTATGTCATCGTCCGTTCCCCGAAGGGTCGGGAGGCGGGCAAGGTCCCAGAGGCTCCAGCGCGGTCGCGACCCTGCGTGCGTGGGCGGGCCCTCAGCAACTCGCCCGCCCCCCAGCCCCCCAGCCCCCCCAGCCCCCCGAAAGTTGCTTAAAAAAACACCGCCCGCCCGCCAAGCCCCCTCCTGCTCCTGCTCCTGCGCATCCTCCTTCATGCTCCTCCTCCTCCTCCTCCCCCTCCTCCTCCTCCATAATTACACAATATGAAAATACTCTCCCACTTCCCCTGATGGCGTCCCGAAGATGGCCGACCCCCCCCGCGTACTGTTTTTTAAACACAGGATTCCCGGGAAACGGGTTTTCGCCTGCGTTTTTTTTCATAATGCTGCTCTCGCTGAGGCGCCGGCCTCATTTCTGCTCCCGAATCGTTCCGAATCGTGCTCCCGCTGCAGCGTGGGCCTCATTTTTGGATCGGTGTTTGGCCTCCGTCGTTCAGGATGGCGTTTTCGCCCCAGCGCGGGCCTCTTTCTCGCGCGCCCATCCGCCCGCCACCACCGCGCCGCACCACCACCACCACCACCACCACCACCACCACCACCACCACCACCACCACCACCACCACCACCACCACCACCACCACCACCACCACCACCACCACCACCACCACCATCACAACCAGCACCAGCACCAGCACCAGCACCAGCACCAGCACCAGCACCAGCACCAGCACCACCACAACCACGCACACACGCACGCACGCACGCACGCGCACCACCACCCACTACGCACGCGCGCGCGGAGCCACAGGTCCGCTACGACACGCGTCCGCGGATAGAGAAAATCAGCGACATGGTAAGGGATGGGAGGGAGGGGTAGGACGTCAGATATGACGCGAGCGCACCTAGCTTGTCCTCCTCCCCCTCCGCCTCCTCCTCCTCTCCATTCCTGAGTCCAACAACAGCGTTGACGTCTCATTCATACTTCCGCTGCTTCCCGCGGCGTCGTCGTCGTCGTCGTCGTCGGCGTCGTCGTTAATCGTGGTCGTCGTCGTCATCGTCGTCGGCGGCGGCAGCGGCTCCGCCGCCGCCGTGCTGTTACTTCCGCCGGCCTCCGCCGGCCTTTTCCGAGGGCCTTCCGCGGAAGGCGAGGTGCGCCGAGGGCGAGGGCCCGCCGGAGCGCCCCAGATGGCGTACGGCAGGTCCGTGTCGTGTCGACCCCGGCGTTGGTTCCGGACACCGCGGGGATCGTGCAAGCTTGGAAGGACCGGCCCTCGCAAAAAAAATACGGATCGTTGAAGGATGGGCCGATTCTGGGCCACAGGCGTCGTTCAGCCTTACACGCCCGTGCTGGGGTCGCCGCCGGTCGACACGACGCGAACCTGCCGTAAGGAGGGGAGGCCATCAGCCCGCGACCTCGCGCGCGATCTCTATTTTGTTGCCCCAGCACTGCGCGAGACGAGCGCCCAGAGGAGGCTGAAGGTGCAGCACGGCTGCCCCGTGGGCACGCGCAAAGGATGTTCACTAGCGAGAGGGAGAGTGGGCAGGAGGACGAAAATGGAGGCCACAAAATTTGAGGCCAGAAACGTGGGTCGGTGGACAGCGCCACATCGTCGATGCACTGACGAAGCATCAGCGACGTCGGGATAGAGAAAATCTGACTCCGGATCTAGCCGCATCGCCGATACATCGGCGATGGGGCGCTGGACCCTCCGACCACGTGTACTCTGGCCCCAAGTAACTGGCATGGGGAAGGGTATGAACATACCAAAGGAGAAAGAGAGGAAAACGTGACGAGAACGATCAGCACAAAAATGGAGCTGCTTGGACAGATCGCTCGCCATCGCGTGCGAGTTGAGCGACTCTCCCGACACAGCGGCATCGTACTATAACGGTGCCACTGCGCACAAGGCATGGACTGGTGATGATTGGTGCCAAGCGGGACAAGGCTCGACAACACCACCCGCTTGTGGGACAGCGCCTCCACCCTCCCGCCTTCTCGAACACTGCGAGCAGAGAAGGCGCGGAGAGAGGAAAAAGTGGCACAGAGGGGTGGATAGGTGGACCAGATCCTAAAGTGCAGCAGACTTACGCGATAAGATATGGTGCAATGAGAAATCTGGGGTGGCACACTCTCCGTCCATCTTCGAGGGTCCTGACATGTGGGTCCCAAGGGCCCTCGGGGGATACAACAAATCCTTGGCGCGCCTGCTGGCAGGCCAATGTCTTGCTGGACATGCATGCTGTAGGCTACCCGACGTGGCGGATACACGAGACCGGCGCTCCTGCACCGTACCATGTTTAGACTCCCTTCGGGCCTCGCTCCGACTCGACACGGTGCATGGCTGTTTCGGCTCTGAGGGCAGAAAAATACGATGCACCGTGCCATGCCTGGTTCGGAGATCGACGACGCCCCGGGAGACACCAACGCGGTGCGGTGCACACAGGTCGTCCGCGGAGGATCAAGAGGGCAGGACTCGCGCAGCGGGACGCTGGCAGGCGGGTCGCGCGGCGGATCCCGGGGTCGGCGGCCCGCGCGGCGAGTCCGAGGGGCGCGTCGCGGGGCGGGCCGCGGCGGGCGCCGGTCGTGGGGTCGTCGTCGGGCGCGGGTCAGGAGGCGGGCCACGAGGCGGATCGCGGGGAGGGTCGCGAGGCGGGCTGTGGGGCGGGTCGCAGGGGGGTGGGTCGCGCGGCGAGGGCAAGGAAGCCAAGAGAGCGACATCGGACCCGCAGGCATCGTGCTCGCGTCTCTCAAACGCGAAAGATGCCCGTACACTTACCCAGGCAGGGTGGCAAGAGGCGGGGGAAGCGACACGCCGCAGCCGACGGCGGCTGCACAAGTGTAGATGCGACGGCCCACAGAACATTACGGGACGCTGTCTTTTCCGGGCATCCGCTGGTACCGAAGGCGCGCGCGTCTTCCTGTATGCAAGAGGCTCGGCTGCAGCCCCACCCCCAAGCCTCAGGTCGGGCCTGTCCCCCTGAAGGAGGATTTTGGATGACAAATTCAGAATGATCCAAACAGATTCCAGGCAAAACCAAACATACAGAAAAACATCGTCCCCAGACTATCTTTTCGACTATTTTTGCATATTCCTCCTGCAGAGGGTCAGGCCCGACTTCTCCCAAGGCCCCCTCGCCCAGCTTCCCTCCCCATTCCTCCCCTTAGGAAGGCACCAACTATACACCAACACCGATCCTGGCCAGGATCACCCTGGGCCCAGGATCACCCTGGGCCCAGGATCGGTGTATACGCCCTCCTGCCTTGCGCAAGAAGGCATTATACACCGATCCTGGATTATAATATACCGATCCTGGGCCCAGGGTGATCATGGGCCAGGATCGGTTGTTGGTTTATAGTTGGTGCCCTCCGACCCCTGGCGGCTCCCTGGGCAGACACCTACCTCGGGCCTCCGGCCGTCGCTCGGGACGCGTCGGGCGGCCCCCCCCCGGGGCGCCCCTCTCGGCGGGGCGCCGGCAGGTCGGAGGGGCGCCCCCCGAGGCGGGACCAGGCCCGCCACGAGCCCGAGAGGAGACGGCGCTCGAGGGCCTCGAACCTCGAACCCCTCTCCCCTCCCCTCCCCCCTCGCCCCTCCCCTCCTCTCCTCCCTCGCCCTCCCCTCCCCTCCCTACCCCTCCCCCTCCCCCCCTTCGCCTCTCCCCTCCCCTCCCCCCTCGCCCCTCCCCTCCCCTCCCCCCTCGCCCCTCCCCTCCCGACCTCTCCCCTTCTCTCGGGCGGGGGGGGCCCGTGCACGTGGCGCGTGCCGTATCCAGAGAGGAGTGAGGCGGGCGAGATCGGGTCTGCCGGCTCTGGTGCCGGCTCGCTGCGTCGGGACTCGGGGCGACGAGCTATCGGCGCGCGGCGGACGGAAAACGCCCCGTGGGCAGCGTCCGCCGTGCTCATCCGGCGCTTGCTGGGCGCCGCGAACTGGCAGTAGTGATGCTGGTGATGGAGGTGGTGAGATGATCATGGTGCCTTTGACGATGGCGATGCTGATGATGCTGATGATGATGACGACGAAGACGATGACAATGATAACGATGATGTTGACGATGAACACGGTGATGATGATGATGATGATGATGATGATGATGATGATGATGATGATGGAACGATGATGATGATGATGATGATGATGATGATGATGATGATACTGATGATGATGATGATGATAATGATGATGATGATGATGATGATGATGATGATACTGATGAGGATGATGATAACGATGATGGTGACGATGGTGATGATGATGATGTTGATGATGCTGATGACGATGCTGGTGAGGTATGTTGTTGAGATGATGATGTGAAATGATGATGATGATGATGGACTACTGCATGAGGATGATGATAAGATGATTGTGACGATGGTGATGATGATGCTGTTGATGATGCTGATGACGATATGATGGTGATTGGTAATGTTTGTTGTTGTTGATGATGATGATGATGATGATGATGATGATGATGATGATGATGATGATGATGATGATGACGACACGGCCAACGAGGGCCAGAAACGGGACGGCCACGGCGACGGCGACGAGGCCCAGCGAGGAACAGAAGGAGCGAGCGAGCGAGCGAGGGGACAGGACCACGCCCGACGAGAGGAGGGAGAGGAACAGGGGCGGGCCAGGAGCCGCGGCAGCGGGGAGAGGACGATCCGATCCTCAGGAGAAACCCCCAAAAAATCGGCGACCTTCGGACACGTACGCCTGACGACGGCTTGGTCTGAGGGGGGGAACTTACCCTGGATGTTATGACAAGAGGAGGGTGTTCACAACCCTCCCCGACGGGCAATCTCATACTCCCCCCAGAGCAACCAGGAACGGGAGGGAACTCCTGCTTGAGATGCGACTAGAAGATCAGGACAGGAAGAACATGAGGACGACGACTGTCCTCCCGTGTTCTCCTCCTCGTCCTCCTCATCCGCATTACCATCCTGCTTATCATCCCTCCTCCTCCTCCTCCTCCTCCTCCTCCTCCTCCTCCTCCTCCTCAGCACTCCTAACCCTCCCCTCCTCCCCCCGTCTCTTTCACCCTCCCTCTCCCACATCCACCTCCCCGCATGCATAGAAGCACGCACGCACAACCATCCTCAAGCCCCATGCAGCTCGGGTGCACCCTTCGGGGTCCGAGGGCGGGGGACATGCAGCAGGAGGGGACGAGGAGGAGAGGGCGGAGGAGCAGCATCCCCCGCTCTGAGCTGTTCCCGCCGCGGCCCCAGAGCCCCCGACCCCTCCGTCGTGCCAGGGGGTTGGCCCGGGCTCCGTCTGATGGCCCCGCGGCCAGAAAGCGGCCCCCGGGGGCTGAAATCCAGGAAGACCGGCAGGGCTGCACGAGCGCAGCGTCGGAGATCTGACGAGAGAGGTCCTCCCAAGGGAAGGCGGGTAATTAAGGGGGAGGGGCACACACACACACACACGCACGGGCAGGAGGCGACACAAAACTTGCCGTGCGCACGCGTCGCGTGCGCACCGCCGCCACCCTGCCGGGAGCGTGTTCGGGCGCGGGCGGCCGAGCTCCTTGCGCCCAGGAGGGAACTAAAACAATTTCGTGGAGGCGCGCCATGCAGGCTCGGGGATCGCCCAAGTGAGAAAGCCGGGCGCCAGTCTGCGACCCAACCCGACCACTTGTCGCACCAGAAGTCCCCGCGGATCGGATGGGCAACGGATCGTCCCGCATCGGAATCGGATCGCCGCGCCCCTCTCCGGCTGGCCCCGGCCGATGCCGGTGAATCGAAGGAGGTCGAATCGAGTAGGAATCGCGGGCCCAACCCGAACCGAACCGCATCGAAGCGAATCGCAGGCGGCCCTGTCTGTGCCACGCAAGAGGCTATGAGGGGTGCACCTTCTGGCAGAGAGGGAGGCTTCTCACTTCGCATTGGCAGCGCGAGGAAACAAAAAGGCGAATTCGCTCCCCCGGGGCATCTTTGGACGAATCGCCCAAGCTGCCCGCTGTGTAAGCGCGCGCGAAGCGAAATAATGCGTCGCGCACGCCGCCGGACAAATCCGGCTGCAGACACGAGGGACATCACAGTAGTACGCTCGCAAGGCAGGCAGAGCGACACCATGCAACAACCTTGAAGGGATTGGCTCAAAAAAGATTGCCTGGCTGAGCTCATCTCGCTTAGATGGTGCGGGATGCTCGAGCGACAATCGCGGACCGTGAAATTCGCTGCCCCATCGGGCCAACGGCGTGTTAGACAGCTTAAGCATGTGAACATAATTATGTGGAGTCAGGTGGTGCGGTTGAGCTCCAACTCGCCCAGGAAGAGAAGGAGGAGGACAGAGGAGGGAGGGGGAGGCTTGGGCTCCCTGCGCTCCCGCATGTTGTTGTTTTTAACCCTCCTGCGTTGGGTTCTCGTTTTGAATAGAGCAAAGTGGTCGCATCCTCCTTCCCGCCTGCCCCCTCTCTCCTTTCCCCTGCCTTTCACCTCGCTCCTTCACGCAGATTCAGATTAGACCTCGCCATCCCTGCGGGGATGCGAATTGCGAAACTGCCGACGCTTTCGAAGGCTGCTGGGGGGGCCAGCGAAATGGGGTCCCACGCAGGTTCAGATTAGACCTCGCGGTCCCTGGGGGAGGCAATCTGCTAACTGTCACCACTTTCGAAGGCTGTTTGGGAGGCCAGCAGACTGGGGTCCCACGCAGGTTCAGATTAGACATCGTTTTCCCGATCTGGGAAATTGTCACCACTTTCGATGGCTGCTGGGAGGCCAGCGGACTGGGGTCCCACGCAGGTTCAGATTTGACATCGTCGTCCCTGGGGGGCTGCGATCTGCGAAACTGACGCCACTTTCGATGGCTGCGGGAGCGGCCAGCGGAGTGGGGTCCCACGCAGGTTCAGATTAGACATCGTCATCCCAGGGGGCTGCGATGTGCGAAACTATCGCCACACTCGAATGCTGTTGGGGGGTCCAGCGAATGACGTCCTACGCAGATTCAGATTCGACCTCTTCGTCCCTTGGGGGCTGTGATCAGCGAAACTGACGCCACTCTCGATGGCTGCTAGGGGGACCAACGGATTGGGGCACCACGCAGATTCAGATCAGACCTCGCCATCCCAGGGGGCTTTGATCTGCAAAACTGTCGCCACTTTCGAAGGCTGTTAGGGTGTCTAGCGAGTGACGTCCTACGCAGTTTCAGATTCGACCTCGCCATCCATGCGGGGCAACAATCTGCGAAACTGCAGCCAATTTCGAGGGCTGCTGGGGGGTGCAGCGGAGTGACGTTTTACGCGGACCACCCGGAGACCTCGCCATCCCGGGGGGGCTGCGATCTGCGGAACCGTCGCCATTTTTTTGGCGCTGCTGGGGGGTGCATCGGCGTGGCGGTTACGCGGGCCACCAAGAGACCTCGCCATCCCTGGGGTCCAGCGGGGTCACGCCTTTTTCTGTTACTCCGGGGTTGTTTCGAATTCCTGGTCGCCACGAAAGAAACTGAGAAGCTGGCGGGCGAGCGTGGCCTCGCTCGCTTCTTGCACTAACTCGAAGCAGGCTTAATCGTTCTTTCGAGCGCTGCGGCGACATGGCGCAGGCAGCGCTGCATCTTTAGCGTACTACCAACACTAGCAATACTCTTCGGTCTCCTCCCGTCATGTTTGTTGTCGTCCTCTGCCCTCTGCCACCTTCCCTCTGATGCTGCGCGCTGACGGTTCGGCCTTCCACGCGCCCTTCTCCTGCCCTTTGTTCCCGCCCCCATATTGTCCTCAAGCCTGGGCCTTCGTTCCTCGTCCTCCTGCTGTTGCCCTGTGAACCGTGCAACGTGAGCGCATCCCGTGTAGTTGACACAGCACATAACGGCGCCTGCACTGTCATTGTCATGGCAAGTTTGGGCCAACTTCCCTTGCCACTTGAGGCAAATAGGTTGGGTACGTCACAGGGCAATGGCTTATAATCCGCGCGTGTGAGGTCGCCTCCTGGGGAAACTGCGGGCCTAAATGAGGCCAAGACCACTCTCAAGGGGGGGCGGGGGGGGGGGGCCAGAGCGGCAGCGCCCCTGGGAAGTGGGGTGGGGGGGTGGGGTCACAAGAGCGGCGCGCCAAGAACGCGAGTCCGCTCTCTCCTCCGCCTCTTCCTGCTCCCTCCCCTCCTCCTCCGCCTCCTCCTCCTCCTCCTCCTCTTCCTCCTCCTCCTCCTCCTCCTCCTCCTCCTCCTCCTCTTCTCCCTCCTCTCCCTCCTCCTTCTCCTCCTCCTAGCCCAACATCCTCCTCCTGCTCCTCCTCCTCCTACTCATCCCCTCCTCCTCCACCTCCTCCTCCTCCTCCTCCTCCTCCACCTCCTCCTCTTCCTCCTGCATCTTCCTCCTCCTCCTCCACCTCCTCCTCAATGGATGGCAGGCTTCATGTTGGTCCCATGTTGGCCCCAAGATGGCCCCGAGATGCTGCCAAGATGGCCCCCAGATGGCCCAAAATGATTCAAGCTACGTGAGCGGTCATACCACAAGATTGCGCCAACTGGCAGACCACTGAAGATGCCATCGGAGGCTCCTAATACTACAATCATCGGGAGAGAAAACAACAAAACATTATTGTTGCTGCTGTTTGGCCTTCTCGCATCTGCGGCCCCAACGGGTTCTCGAGGGCCCCAAGACCCTGAGGGAAATTAAAGGGCTCCAACGGAGCCCCGAGGGGGCTCTAGAGCTTTCCAAGAGCGCAGGTCAATCGACGCCAGGCCGTGAGATGGCCCATAGACGACTCCAAGTCGCCCCGCTGGCCGAATCTGAGCCCCTCGGAGGCCCCCCAGGGATGCCTACATAAGAGAGCATCTCGCGCTGGCGGGATCCAACATGCTTCTCGGACACCGAGGTGGCCCCATGAGAGCCCTGAGGGGGCCCCGAGACCCCCCAAGGCGGCCCCAGGAGAAGAGTACCAATAGAGCCCCAGTAGACCCCCAAAGCTGCCGAAGAGCACAGGTCAGGTGTCAAACCGTAACTCGCCCCAAGGCTGGCCCAGAGAGGGCTCCAGGAGGACCACGAGATTGCTCAAGAGCGGGGACCACTGGGCGGTAGGCCTCAGGATGACCACAATATAGCCTCAGGCCTCAAGCCATCCCCAAGAGGCCCCAGGATGGCCCAAGTGCGGCCCCAGATCATCCAAGGCAGCCCTCGAACAGCCCCAAAGAGGCACCCAGAAGCACGCGATTCGCGCCCAGGAACCCCGGATGAAGCCTCCCACTGGGCCTCGAAGACTCCCCAAGATGCTCCGAAAGCCAACAAAGGGGTTGCAACAAACTACCTGCTCATGACTTCGGGCTTCGATGCCGATGCTTCGGCAGGAACTTGTTCCATTGGGAGGTGCGGTCAACCGACGGTGATGGAATTGGATTACCCTGGCGACGTACCCAACCCCTGCGCAATGCGGGGCATGAGTAGCTTGGGCGACTTCGTAAGGGGGTGATGGCGAGAAAGGACGTATGGATTTCTGCGACCAGCATTTGAGATCCCATTTGAGTCCGCCGCGGGGCCCCACTATGCTGGCCCCCCAAGCAGGCCTCGAAAGTGGCGACAGTTTCACAGATCGCAGCCCCCCAGGGATGGCGAGGTCAAATTTGAATCTGCGTAGGACGTCAATGTGCTGGACCCCCCAGCAGGCCTCGAAAGTGGCGACAGCTTCACCGATCGCAACCCCCAGGGATGGCGAGGTCGAATTTGAATCTGCGTAGGACGTCACTAAGCTGGACCCCGCCAGCAGCCCTCGAAAGTGGCGACAGTTTCACAGATCGCAGCCCCCCAGGGATGGCGAGGTCTTACTTGAATCTGCGTAGGACGTCACTTTGCTGTACCCCCCAGCAGGCCTCGAAAGTGGCGACAGCTTCACAGATCGCAGCCCCCCAGGGATGGCGAGGTCTCAAATTGAATCTGCGTAGGACGTCAATGTGCTGGAACCCACAGGCGGCCGCGAGAGTGGCGACAGTTTCACAGATCGCAGCCCCCCAGGGATGGCGAGGTCAAATTTGAATCTGCGTAGGACGTCAATGTGCTGGACCCCACAGGCGGTCTCGAAAGTGGCGACAGTTTCACAGATCGCAGCCCCCCAGGGACGGCGAGGTCAGATTTGAATCTGCGTAGGACGTCAATGTGCTGGACCCCCCAGCAGCCCTCGAAAGTGGCGACAGTTTCACATATCGCAGCCCCCCAGGGATGGCGAGGTCGAATTTGAATCTGCGTAGCACGTCACTATGCTGGACCCCCCAGCGGGCCTCGAAAGTGGCGACAGTTCCACAGATCGCAGCCCCCCAGGGATGGCGAGGTCAAATTTGAATCTGCGTAGCACGTCACTATGCTGTACCCCCCGGCAGGCCTCGAAAATGGCGACGGTTTCACAGATCGCAGCACCCCAGGGAAGGCGAGGCCGAACTTGAATCTGCGTAGCACGTCACTACATCGCCGTGACGAAAATTTCTTTCAATTTGCCTTTTGTAATGACGCGCTTGTGCGGAGTAGTTCGGAGTAGTTTTACTAAAACTACTCCGCGCGCAATCGCATCCCGCTCGGTAATGTATACGGTTTGGGTTTGGGGTAACAGAATTATTAACGTCTCCGGGGTCGGAAACTACCCCGCCGAATGATCCCATCATCATGTCATGTTAGGAATCTTGAAAGGGATGGGGAAGATCTTCATCATAGCAAATTGAAGAAACGTTTGCCACGGCTGTGTATGCTGGACCCCCCAGCAGGCCTCGAAAGTGGCGACAGCTTCACAGATCGCAGCCCCCCAGGGATGGCGAGGTCGCAAATTGAATCTGCGTAGGACGTCAATGTGCTGGAACCCACAGGCGGCCGCGAGAGTGGCGACAGTTTCACAGATCGCAGCCCCCCAGGGATGGCGAGGTCAAATTTGAATCTGCGTAGGACGTCAATGTGCTGGACCCCACAGGCGGCCTCGAAAGTGGCGACAATTTCACAGATCGCAGCCCCCCAGGGACGGCGAGGTCAAATTTGAATCTGCGTAGGACGTCAATGTGCTGGACCCCACAGCAGCCCTCGAAAATGGCGACGGTTCCACAGATCGCAGCCCCCCAGGGATGGCGAGGTCTCAAATTGAATCTGCGTAGGGCGTCGCTGTGCTGGACCCCCCAGCAGCCCTCGAAAGTGGCGACAGTTTCACAGATCGCAGCCCCCTGCAGGCAAGACAGGAGGAGGCAGGAGGGAGGCGGGAAGGAGAGAAGGAAGGAATACCCAACCAAGGAGGGTTGGGAATAAAGAACCATTGGATAAGAAATCCAAGGTCTGGAAGCAGGGGAACTCGAATCGTGGGTTGGCTATGGATATCACCACCAGCCTCATCAGATAAGGAATCCTTCAGGGTCTGAAGCCTCCTGGGCACACTCCTTAACCAACGCCCCCAACGGTTCAACGTACCAGGCCAGAGCTTCCCCCTTCAAACGACAGCCTGGGGAGACTACCACCACCCAACACCTTTCCGATGCCCAAGAGCACACAAACAAATGGCAAGGATGATACTGCATGGGCCGGCGGAGTGTGGGAAGCGGTGAATAAATGTCGATTGTGGTAACCGCCTCCTTGCAGATCTCGCCGCTGGACAACTCCGGCAGCGTAGAAGTAGGAGGTGCAGAAGAGATCCAAGCGCGTCCACTCGTCGGGGTCAGGTTGCCCTAGAAGGGACAACGCAGCCGCAAGGCGGCAAAGATCCTAGCACTGGA